AGAGACAATCCATTCATTCAAAATGTGAATTTCCTTATGACTAAATATTTCACCCTTAGCAGCAACAAACCTGCTGCAGTGCAAACTCGAACAGCCTTTCTGAAACCTACACAAAGTTAAAGGTGGGGTGTGCTGTGAGGTTTTTTTGCTAAATATGCTTTCTATATTTTGCCATTATATTTGTAGTCTTGAATTTACTTTCATATAGTAAAACCAATGCAGGAATTCTGTTTCCTGCAACTGCATGGAGAAATTATCTCCTCCAGTTAATGTTGGAATTAATGACTGATCATCAGAGCCTCAACTTTCCTCAGTTCCTAGAGCAAATGTCACCTGAAGAATTCTTTAATTCTGTATCAGAGGTGGATTTCGTTTAAAATGCCTTTTCTTTATCATGCTACAGAAGAAGAGGCTGAAGAGCCGGTAACAGGAGCCAGTGACACGGTTTGCAACAGCACAGACCCCTCAGCACAAGGTGAGTTACCCAAACAGGATGGGAAGTTACATTGCTGCCTGGGGGATAAAGGCATGGAAATGTATTTTCTCCAGGGCAGAGGACTCAGAACACAACACATTCCGCAGACACAAGCTGCTGTTCCAAGGTTGCTCCTGCAGTTACACACAAGCCCCAGCAAGCAAAAAGCAACACAGACACCCTGGGCTCCCCTGCTGTTGCCATGTTCTCTATCGGCTCTTCCTTTGCTGCTCTTCCTTTCCCTGAAACTGTCTCCTGTGGTTTTTCCCACTTTCTGCCAAGATCACAACATGAAAACCCAGACCATGATCTCTCCCCTCTTTTCTGGTCACTGAGCAGACCCTGAAGGGCAGAGAGTGAACATGCTGTCCATGGCTGTGCTGGGTTTGAGAGTCCTGCTGGCAAAGAGCATCGCCTTCAATGTCCTCATGAGTATCAAGTTGTTTCTTTTCTGAGGTAAGGCAGCTCACAGCTGTCAAACACTGGTTCACAGGCCCAATTTCATTAAATGCACTTTAAACTTCCCTTTGCTCTTCCAGACATGGGGAATGAAGACAAGAGGAACCCAAAGAAGATCAGGAAAGAACCTGAACCAGCAGCACAAGGGGCTTGACAAGCAGGGGCAGAGCTGCTGACAGAGACCACCCAGGACACAAGGCAGCACCTTCCCCTGAAGACACTGAATGCTGTTCACTCCTGCCTGGCCAGCTGATTTACACTGAAGACCTTTAAGTGCTTTTGCTGTTTCCTCTCCTCTGCCAACTCAGGAGAGTGGATTTATCCTCATCCTCCTGCTAAGTAGATCTCCCCACTCTTCTGGCATTTGCACACAAGTCTCCAACCTGCTTCAATAGCTCTGAAGACTCCAGTGCTCACTCTAGATAGATGGCCTTTGAAAAGCACCTTTCCCAGGCGTGTTGTGTTACTGCCTGTGGAACTGGAGCAGCACTGCTGAGGGAGTTCAAGCCCAGTAGTCGGCATTTGTTAAATAGAATTCATAACAATAAGAACGAATGGCAGATGAGAAGAGCTTTGTAGGACCTGAAGTGATTTAATTAATCCAGATAATGTTAATTTGTTTATTAAGAATCTATTACATCTTCCAAATGTATTGCACCTGCATTTTAGGTTCCTGTAGTAGTGATAAAAATAAAGTTGTGCTAGGCCACAATGCTGTGGGTTTTCTGTGCTTTTTCTACTGAAGCTGGGATGGAAAATGCTGAAATCCAACTTTCCAAAAGCCCACTGGGATCTGAAACACTGCTTTGATAATGCAGATTTCCTGGTGGCTGAACTTCTCTCTTGCTGACTTTGTGCAGGGAAGGGTCACTCTGGCACATTCAGGAGCTTCAGCGAGGACAGACCTTGCTGAAGGCACGAGAGGGGAAAATGCTCATACCAGCAGAGAAGAAGCCCTGCTGTTGTTTTGCACTCAGGGAGAGGAGGAAGGGGCCACCAGAAAATAATTTGGGGTGGTTTGATGGAGTGATAGTTTCCATAGCAACTTGTTCTTCCCTAACAGAGATCAGCCCACACCTTCCCCAGCTCATGCCCCTCTCCCAAGCTACAGGCAGGATGCTGTGGTCACCATTTCTGACTCAGTCACACCAGGCAGCATTAACCCTCCCCTGCTTTTGACAACACAAGTTAACCACATCCTGGCAGGGAAATAAGGCTTTGCTCCCCCTGCCTGAGCTCCTGCTGCCTTCAAGAGAGCCTCTGCACGGACACAGCAAGGGGTGCTGCAGTGAGCCTGCTCAGCTCAGACCCTCAGGCCCTGCAGACACCCAGAGAAGAGCCTCAGCCCCTGCAGAAGCTCTGTGAAATTTGCATGGCAAAACTAAATTCAGTGAAATGCTCATGTACTGCATTCTACCACCAGACTGTCAGTCAGGGGGAGCCCTTTACCAGTATTTTTATCCTGATTTTCCAATGACACACAGAACATTTTCCTCAAGCAATCCACACCTTTTCCCAGTCCCTCTGGTAGATTTATATTTTGATAATACTCCCTCAGGCACAACCAGTGGAATCAGATGGTCAAGAAAAAAAGGTCAATGATTAAATGCTGTTATAATCCCTTAGTCTTGATGAAGTCTGGGACTAGGATTGGATCCATCCACACCTCCTCTAGGAGTTTACAAAGCAGCAGAGTCCTTTCTACACCTCATGACTCAATAGGAGAGACTGCCTTTTACAGCTCTGCCCATTCTAGCCCCAGCCTCCTCATCAATCTTTCTAAAATAATTCCAATTTGTTGTTCCTGTCCCTGATTTATCCATGTAAGAAAGCTGTAGGGAGCATTACTGTTGGACTGTGCCACACTTTGGCCAATCTTTGTTAAACCTGCTGTTGCTGACACCTCTGGCAGTGAGTGTTTCATTGCCCTAAAGCCCTCATTTCATGACAGGGTCCCAGATTGTCCCCACTAAGCAGTGGCTTTTCACTTTGCATTGGCAATGCAGAACATGCAGCTGAACAAAACAGGAGAACAGAACTGTCTCCAGTCCGATAGTAAGATTCTCTCAGTGTGGTTAATTCCACATAAGAGGACAGGATCTGCAACTCTGCCTCCTGGTGTCAGCTGAGGAGAGTTTTGTAGAGAAACTGTGCTCCACATTAAAATAGCCTCTGCTCAAAGAAGCACATTTGAATGTGGAATTTTCCTGACATCTGAAAAAGCTATATTGTCCTGAAAGGGATCCCATGATGCCAAAAAATGGAGGATGATTAGAAGTAGAACCCTTTGGTACAATACATTTTGACAGTACTATCCTGTTCTACAGATTGATTTGTGTCCATGTTTGATTGTTCTCATAGAGCCTTTGAAAATCTCCAGGGGTTGAGCCCCTGTCCCTGGAGACATTCAAAAGCCACCTGGACATGGTCCTTGGCAAACAGCTCCAGACCAGAAAACTCTAGTGAAAACCTTGTGTGATGGAAGGATTTTCTCTGCACGACCTTTGCAATGTGTGGATGAAATGATTTCTCTTGACAGTCTTGGTCAGAATAGAGCAATGCCCTGATTCTCTAACACTAAAAATTGCTGTTGGATAGTTTTTGTTTCTCCCACAGTTTCAGTGACAAGACCACCCACAAGGGGATCTTCAATAAAACATTTAAAGTAATTTGAGGAAAATTTTCTCCTCTAGCATATTTATTTCTCCTGCCCCTTGGTGAGTCTCACACACGGAGTGTGGTATCTGACATCTGTCCTGCTGAGCAAGTCAAAATGGTGAGAGCTTTCTCCTGTGGCAGACAACATTCAAAGCATCATGAAAGAATAAATCCCTTTCCAAGAGGTTACATGGTTACATGAAGAACTCCAGGAGAAGGGAAAACACTAAATAGCTTTCTGTGCCACTGAAACCTCCAGTCTTCTTATACCACATTAAAAATACAATGGAATAATCATATTCCTGCACCTGCTGGGCAAAATCTGACCTATCCATTTCCTGTCCCAAAATCCTAAAAAGCTCCTGACAGAATTAGATCTAAAATATACAGAAACTCATTAGGAGTACGGTTAATTACCTAAGTGTAAGGCAAGCTGTCTTTATGTCTTTGCTGTATATTTCACTCAGCAGATATGGTTTGAACTGAGGTATTGGAAACCTGATATTACCCCACAAAAATATTCAGGACTGGGGAGTGCAGAGCTCTTGGGAAGGTCTGTCTTCAAAAGCACAGCTTTGAAAATAGATGTCAACTCTAGGATTTCTGTAGGGAGGACCTTAGTTGATTCCTGGTTATGCCAAAGCCTCCCACGATCAGGGCACTTGTTGTAAGGCACTTTCTCTTCTGTGACCTATATTGAAACATAACCTGCAAGGAGGCAGAGCAGAGACACCCAAGCCTTCACTACATGGGGACTACTGACAGGCATTGTGCACAGTTTTATTTTGATGACAAATAGAATCTCTGGCCATGGGGTTCCACCTCCTTGGGAGCACTGCTAGATCATCCTTGGGACAGTATATTTCTCTAACACTTGACAGGGTTCAGATCTAGAGGCCGAGAGTTTCTGTCCTCCTCCCAATCCCCTTTTCAGTGCCCACAGCCTTGAGCAAGATCAGCCTGGGGAGCACCTATGGCAGCAGGCACAGGGTTAGGTCCTACAGCCACAGGAGCAGCTCAAGCAGCCTTGGCACCACTGCCTGCACACCTGATACAACTAATGCTGAGATCAGATTTGTTTCCAGCCCACTCTGGGCAGATCTGCTCTTACCTCAAGCCTTCATGCCCCACTCTGGATGCCAAATAAGGCTGTTGTGGCATAGGAAAGGTATTTCCCAATTTAGTGTTCCCACTGACCCACTCCAAAGCAAGCCTGAGGCTCTTTCACAGGATCACACAAAGTGTGATTATGGAGAGGGCTAAACAGAAAGATGGGGACCACATGGGCGAGAGAAACTCAGGAGGGCGACAGGAGCTTCAAGTTCTGCTCCTCCTGCCGCACCTCTCCCCCTCTATGACTGTTGTCATAGGCAGAGGGAGGGACCAGCAGGGACTGGGAGCAGTGACAGAGGCCCAGGCAGGGCAGGTGTGGGCAGAGCTGCTGTGCAGGCAGAGAGAAGGTGGAGAGAGGCCACCCAGAGCGGGCCTGGCCATGTGGAGTGCCCTGTGCGTGGGCTTCTTGCCCATTGTAGGTAAGTGAAGGCAAGGGCTGATGGCCCAGGAGCTGAGCGTGGCCCTGGGCTCTGCAGGGCTCGGGGCAGCTGTGCTGAGCGCCTGCAGCCGGACCTGTGCCCCGGCTCCAGCTGCCCAGCCATGCCTGTGCAGCTCGGGGAGAGCAGCCCTGCTCCTCTTGTGCCTCTGAGCTCGGCACCTCCAGCCCAGCTGCCTCCTCTGCAGCCTGGGCACACGCAGGGCAGCTCCCTGCTGCACTCAGATCTCGGGGCCCAGCGCTTTGCCCTGGCACTGGGCACTGCTCCTGGGGCACTGCAGCCCCTCTGGCACACAGCAGCTGGAGCATGGCAGCACAGGGCACAAGCCCCACTGCCTGGGACAGACCTTTGTCTTTGCTGTGCTGACCTCGAGCAGTTCATGGGACTGGAGAGTGGGTGCCTCACCATCTTGTCTTGGCAAGGACAAAGGATTTTGATCCCCCCAGGTTTAAATCCTTCCTGCTTCTTTGGGGAAAATCAGAAAAAGCTTCCTGTGTGACAGGATAAGGGAGGGAGGGAAATGTGGTGTCTCCTGCCTTGTGAGCCTTGCTAGCTGCCACCAGTGCTGCCCATCTGTGTCAGCTGGCTTCAAAGAGCAGGATTTTGTCCTCCCACTGCTCTAGTCCAGTCCGAAGCCCACCAGCATTGCCCTGACCTTTGCTGAATCCTTGGGTGACTGTGCCTTGTTCTTGCTCTCTGCAGCAGTCACTGGCCAGGTGGCCTTGGAGCAGCAGCCCAGGGGAGTGACCGTGAAAGAAGGACTTGAAGTCACCTTGCAGTGCTCCCTTAAGGGAGGTGATATGAGCAGCTATGACATGTATTGGTACCGTCAGGGCCCTCACGGCATGCAGTATATATCCATGGGTGGTTATAACTATGGAGAAGGTTTCGAAGGTCGCTTTATTGGAAAAAAGGAGAACTCCAAGAACAACTTCACACTGCAGATCCTGGCAGCAGAGCAAGGAGACCCAGCAATGTATTACTGTGGAGCAAAAACCACCGTGTAGCCACTCTTTAGCTGAGTGAACCAAAAACCAACAGAGGGGCAAGACAAATGTCCCAGCATTTCCTTCTAGCAGCTGCACCCCAGAGCTCCTGTCAGGCAATGCCAGGTGCAGGAAACATCCCTCTGGCTTGGTGGCACTAGAAGGCACTGCAGGGAGGGCTGCTAGCAGGGCTGGTACCCTTTATGGTGCAGGAGGATCTGTCCTGGGAACTGCAGAGGCTTTCTGGGGGGGGAAGTGCAGGTTTAGTGCATGTTACCTGGGCTCCTGTCCAGCACAGCCTCATCTCTCCTCTGTGCCTTGGCTGCAGAGCCATGGGATGATGGAGATGTGTTGCTGTAGCTTCCAGGGTGCTGTGCTGGATGCAGCCAGGCTGTTTAGGAAAGCCAGATCAGCAGGGGTGGCATTGCTCTACAGGGTGGCTGCTACAGAGCACCTGACCAGGAAGAAGGAGATGAGAAGGTGTGGTCAGTTGACTTTGGTTGTCCTCCAGGGGCACAGCAAGCTGCTGTTTGAGTTGTCCTCTGCAATTAGATGTGGGGGAAAATATGCAATTAAGGCTTGTGGGTTGAGATAAGGACAGGGAGATGTCCCAGCAGTGCCACCATGGGCAAACACATTGATTTGGGGAATGGAATTTAAGTCATTGCCAAAGTCAGAGTAATTTAATGAGAAATAAGCACAAATCATGAAACATCTCCTCCACCTGATCACTGTACAGGAATGGTGAATGTGGTTTGCATTTAGTTGAAAAACTTTTTTTCCCTGCTTTTCTTCCGTCTCATTCTTTTTCCCCATTTCAGTGTTGAGTCCAACCCTGTTTTCCAGGAACTTCTCCAGTGGAGGTTCTTCTCTCTGACTGCAGTTCCTCACAGACTTCTCCAGCACAGTGATTCCTTTCCATGGGCTGCAGCCCTTCAGGAACAGACTGTGGCACTCTGGCTCCCCTGTGGGACACATGTCCTGCCAGAAAACCTCTTCTGGTGTGGGCTACTCACTCCATGGGACCACAGCTTTTGTTAGGAGCCTGCTCCAATGGGAGCTCTCCATGGAGTCACAGATTTTTTCAGGCCGTGTCCTCTTGCTCCTGTATGGGGTCCTGCACTGCCTGCAGGGACAGTATCTGTTGCTCCATCAAGCACCATGGTCAACAGAGTGACAATCTGCATCACCATGATGCTCTTCACCGTGCACATCAGGGCAATCTCTGCTCTGGCACCTGGAGCATCTCCCAGCCCGCGCTCCTGAGGGACACTCAGCACAGCTTTGGGAAGTGGGAATTGGGCTTAGCCACGTTTACATCATTCTACAGTGAGACAATGGCTCTTGCTGGGTGATGAGAGACTGGATGTTGTGCATTCGTCATTCATTTGTGCTCTCAGCACTGACTACCCTGGAACTTTTTGGACAAAGCCTTTGATTATGGACTAGAGAAGTGCTCAGTGACATGGATTGTGCAAGGGTACATCTTCCTTGCTCCAGCGTCTCCCCCTAGACTCTGGGAAATTAAATTCCTGAAGGCTGATCTGGCTGCTGAAGCCTGAGGTGAATAAAGCATTCAGAACCTCAGCCCTGTCCCATATCCTGTGCCACCTGGTCCCCATCCCATTCAGCAGTGGGCCCACGTTTTCTCAGCCTCATTTGTGCATGCATGATCCTTGCTCACTGGGAAGGAATCCTCTTCAGCTCAGCACTGCTGGGGCTGGGGACCAATGTGTCCCCTGCTGGGCTGCCAAGCCTGGGAAGGACATGGACAGAGGAGAACAAACGCAAGGACGGGCCATGAACACAAGGAAAGGAACAGCTTACATGTAAGGAGAGCCTGGGAAATCCTGATCTGTTTAGTGCAGACAAGAAATTTCTGGCAGGGAATTTTTCACACCAACTCTTTGTAGTCCTCCATCGCTGGCCTTTGGTTTCTTCAAGGGAGAAGGGAAGAGCTTCTACTCATCATTTCCCAATTGAATTTCCCCCATCTACTCTACCCCAGATTGCAGCCTCTATCAACAAGCTGTGGCCAGCAACAGACTAATCAAGCACCAGGAAAGAAACAGCCAATAGAATGCTTGTTCTTCCTCTTCTTTCCAAAGACATCTGTTTATACAAATTTTTAAAGAGTAACTTCTCTTGGTAATATTGCTCTAAGCATCCTTTTGTGGCGAGGATCTTACAGACATTTCATGGGAAATTTTCTCTTCTGCCTGAGGCAAATACCTCCTGTAAGGATGGGAATGCATCTATAAGTGCATCTTTTACAGGACCACAGAAAGGGTGAAGTTGAAAAAGGTTTCTTTTAAACAAAGAACGCTTAAAAAATGATGGGGAAAGACTTTTTTTAATACAGGCTGTAGTGATGGGACAAATAGTAATAGTTTTACACTAGAGAGGATAGATTCAGACAAGATACAATGAAGATTTTTTTTTTTTTTTAATGACAGTGCTGAAATTGATTGCCCAAAGAAACTGTCCTATGGTTTTTGCCTGGGTTTTTTTTGTTTTTTTTTTTGTTTTTTTTTTTTTTTTGTTTGTCTTCACACTGTGAGTAGGGCTTGCCAGCTGGCTTCTCTGCTCCTTTGTCACTTGGGAGCCCAGAGTTGGTGCGAGCTGTGCCAGGATCCAGGAGCACGCTGGGCCACGCCCTTTGCTTAGCCCAGGAGCAGCCATTGCCTGTGAGCTCTGCAAAGGAGCAATCCCCTGCCCAGCCCTGCAGTTGTCTGCTACTGCTTCAGAGATTTTTGCAACACCATCACTTAACACCTCCTGTCCTCCCAGACACCTGTGGCTCCTGCCACAGCTTCAGAGTTTCTCCTACACTTGGTTTAGCACCCTGGCTGTGCTCACCTTGGCCTTTCCAGCCTGCTGCTCCAAGGTTCCTGGTACAGCTGGTTTCACTATCGAGAGGGGCACCGGAATCGCCAACCCTGGGGGTTTGTAAAGGAGCCCCTTCTCCATCTCTGCCGGCTGTGCCACCATTACCCACATGCAGAGAGGCGCCCCCTGCAGCCCCGGGGGAATCATCGCACCCACTGTGACCAGCCATGAGCCAGCAGCGCCCCTGCTGGCTGTGCCCGGAGCTGCACCCAAGGGGAAAGTGCCTGCGGCCGCGAGAGGCTGCGACTGGGGACACCCAGTTTTCTCCCAGCCTCTGTTCGCTGCTGCTGCTGCTGTTGTTTCCTTCTTATACACACACATACTGCTAAAGGACTGTTATTCCTTTCCCATCTCTCTGCCTGAATGCCCCTTTATTCCAAAATTATAATAGTTTGGAGGGAAGGAGGTCATAGTCTCCAGTCCAAGGCAGGTCCCACCTTCCTTGGCAGACACCTGTCTTTCAAACTAGAACAGCCACCAGCGCCTGTGTGAGGCAGCACAGGCAACAGATGGAGCAACCACAGACTCACACAGAGTACATTTCTTTCCATGACCTTGCTAACTTGGGGGAATCCCTCAGCAACAGCCAGGCAGAGGCAAAGAGAGACACTGGCATCGAAACTGGGTCCATGCTAGAGGATCCCTGGATTCAGTTCCTGGGCTGTCAGGGGCAGTTCCCAGCTGAAAGGTCACTTCAGGAGTTTACGATCCTCCTGAGTCTTCTACTTTTAATCCATTCCTCCCATCATCCCCAGACCTAACCTGCTTCATCCCAGGACTCCCATCACACTACCACTAGTACCCACAAGAAGAGAACTAGGGGGATTAGACTGCATTGTAAGAAATGCTCCAAAATAACACCAGAAAAACTGATTCTTTTCCTGTTTTCTATCCACCTTAACTCCCTCAGACCTTTCAGAGGAGCCATGTAATCCCCAAGTTTTCATTTACAACTCAACCTTTCTGATATTATTTTAGATCCTTCCTTGAAAGCCATACAGTGTTTCTTCTTGTGGTATGATGGGTCTTAAACCACTGAAGAAGTCATGTGACTGCCTGTATAATCTAAAATTCTCTGTAGTGGAACCAAGACAGTTTTTGCTATGAAATATATCACTGTGTTTGGGGTTTGGAAGCCACATCGATATAAACATCATAGGGACCTGTACAAAAACACCAGGGAAAGAACAGTGAGAAACTTTCGGAAAGAAGGACATGGGTGACTGTAGTGACTAAGGAGAGAAATACAACATTCTTCCTATATGTCCTTTTCTCCTGGACACATAAAAGAATTCATGAAGGTTCTAAAAGGTGGAAGAATGGGAGAAGTTAAAAATTCTATACTCAATCAAGCCATTTGAAATCACTGAACAATTAAATTAATTATTTGTCCTTTCTAGTTTTGGAAGTAAATCTACCTCTGGATCCTCTCAGGAACTTATAACCCTGGATAATTAGGACAAACGACTTTTCATCACCTGTTTTTTCAATAAGTTTGAACACCATGAGGAAAGAGTGAGTTATTGGAATAAGTCTTAGCAGTGTGTGAACAGATAAGCTTATCTTTGGACCCGGGACATCTCTCACAGTTGTACCAAGTAAGTGATGTTTCCTTATTCCTAAAAATTCGTTTAAAATTAGGGTGGAGGTGGACAAAGGAATTTCAAGGTTTGGGTTCACTGAAAGAATTTTCAGCTGCAATAATCCCTTGAATGCACTCGCTCTCCAGCCAGGCTTTCCAGCCCAACCCTCAACTTGGAGCTGCTCAGGAAGGTTTCCCAGGAACAATGGGGCTGACTCTGCATAGCACCATTATTCCATGATCCCCAAACAGCAGCAGGGCACTGCTTAGCATGTGATGGCTGATTCCCACTTTGGGCAGCACTCTGGCCCCAATTGACTGTGCAGTGTCCAATTCTCCAGTGGACTTGCACTGACTGACTTGGGGCAGGAATGCAGAGCTCAGTGAAGAGCTCACAGCGCTGAGGAGCTTTGAGACAGATCTGTAACTGCCTGCTTTGAGAAGTTCTGGTTTGACACTGGCACCACACTGACAGTGTCCCCAGGTAAGGAATCCCACTGCCATAGGGCCAGAGCAGGAAGGAGGTTAAATAGACTTGGGCTTAAATTCTCACAAGTGCCTCATATCCAAGAGCTCCTGGAATGAAAGACAGTTGTGTGCCAGATGGTGTGGGTTCTGAAAAGCCCAATGTGGGGAGTAGGGATGAGAAGAAGCATTAGTTATTCCAATTTTTATTTGAAATTCCATGATGTACCAAATAGATGTATGTCACCCCGATCTTTTCTATGGTTGTGTGAATGTTAGGGCAGCAGAAGGGTTTTTGATGTTGATTGGTGTTATCCTAAAGATCCAGGTGCATCTCTCAGGAATTGTTGCTGTGCTTTCAGTGTTCTGCATGTATTCAAAATGCTGCAAGAACATCTTGCGTTATTTTACATCCCTAAAACTTCCTGAACTCCTCTCAGAAGGATGTGGGACTGCCTTGTGTGCTGCCTAATATCTCTCCATGCCCGTAGGCTCTGTAGCATGGGAATAAATGTATATTTGGGAGCAATCTCAGTGCACTTCCAGTTCCAAAAGGACAAAGGAATGTAAAGATAGCGTTCAAAACAAAGACCACTTCTTTCCATGCTCTACAATGATTTTCTATCTAAAGACAGGGTATTTTCAGAGCTGCACTGGGACTCTGGGATTATGTTTGACAGTAAAAGACATTGAGCCTTATGTATCAAAGTCCCTTTCAAGTCTGCTGAAATACTTAATAAGTTGAAGACAAAGTTTCCAGGATTTAAGCAACCCTCCCCTTTTGGTTTTGAATTCCTTTGGGAGATACTAATCTGCATTTTAAGGTGTTTACAGCACAAATACTTTACTATCCAATCTTTTGCCAATTCCCCAAATCAATATGAAATAAAATAACAACCATTACTGCAACTGTGGGATTCTCCAGGCATATTCTGTTGAGGCCTCAGTTAAGGACAGAGAAGGTTTTCCTTTTGGTTGGGGTTGGATTATTCCTGATTAAACATCCATTGAGAATGCTAAGGGCCATTACTTTTTAGAACACAGAGCTCCTCCAGTGATTTATAAGACACAAGAAAAGGAGAAAACCAACTTTTTGTCCAAATGAATTTGGATATAAACATAAAACACCCTTTATTCTCCACATATGACCTGACCTAGAGGCAAGGGGATTTTCTTTCAAAAACAAATCATGGTACCACAATGATTTGTTGGCTACTAAATTCTTTTGACACCAACAGTTTTCTTGTAAGACAGCTGGTTGTGACTTTAAGCATTCTTCTTTCCTTACTTCTATACCTAATGTCAAGGAACAATGACATAAAAGACACTAGATGAGAATGTTACAAATTAGTCACAGCTGGAGTACATGTGAATTTTTGGTCACTCAGCCTTTGGGCAATCCCACAGTTAAATCAATCCTGTCCAAACCTTGCTTTCTCTTTACAGACATTTCAGAAAGTTCTGTCCCTCAAGTCATTGTGATAAAATCAAAGAAACTGAAAGAAGGGGGAAGCTCTGGAAAAGCAGCTTGTTTGGCAAGGAACTTCCTTACAAAGAACATCAGCTTGGAGATGCCTTCTCAGGAGGTCGTATATGAGCAGAGCACATCCATTTGGACGTCAGAGGCATTGTACAACACAATTAAAGTGGTCAATGTGACAAAAGACACAGAGGTGACCTGCACGGCCAAATCCCACAACAGCACAATTACAACACAGCCAGGTACAGTTTGGTGGCACAGCTGTCACTTGTTTCTGGAGACAGTGGCCTGTGGGGCTTTGTCTTCTCCTTCTTGACAGCACTGCCCTGGGCAGCCAGCAGAAATGAGACAGACATTGGGTACTTCAGCAGGGAGAGCTGAAAGATGCTTCAAAGCATCTGAAAGAAATGGTTTCAACTATTTAACCACCTTGAGATAGTTTTTTGGAGGGAGAAGAGGGAAGAGACAATCCATTCATTCAAAACGTGAATTTCCTTATGACTAAATATTTTACCCTTAGCAGCAACAAACCTGCTGCAGTGCAAACTCGAACAGCCTTTCTAAAACCTACACAAAGTTAAAGGTGGGGTGTGCTGTGAGGTTTTTTTGCTAAATATGCTTTCTATATTTTGCCATTATATTTGTAGTCTTGAATTTACTTTCATATAGTAAAACCAATGCAGGAATTCTGTTTCCTGCAACTGCATGGAGAAATTATCTCCTCCAGTTAATGTTGGAATTAATGACTGATCATCAGAGCCTCAACTTTCCTCAGTTCCTAGAGCAAATGTCACCTGAAGAATTCTTTAATTCTGTATCGGAGGTGGATTTTGTTTAAAATGCCTTTTCTTTATCATGCTACAGAAGAAGAGGCTGAAGAGCCGGTAACAGGAGCCAGTGACACGGTTTGCAACAGCACAGACCCCTCAGCACAAGGTGAGTTACCCAAACAGGATGTGAAGTTACATTGCTGCCTGGGGGATAAAGGCATGGAAATGTATTTTCTCCAGGGCAGAGGACTCAGAACACAACACATTCCGCAGACACAAGCTGCTGTTCCAAGGTTGCTCCTGCAGTTACACACAAGCCCCAGCAAGCAAAAAGCAACAGAGACAGCCTGGGCTCCCCTGCTGTTGCCATGTTCTCTATCGGCTCTTCCTTTGCTGCTCTTCCTTTCCCTGAAACTGTCTCCTGTGGTTTTTCCCACTTTCTGCCAAGATCACAACATGAAAACCCAGACCATGATCTCTCCCCTCTTTTCTGGTCACTGAGCAGACCCTGAAGGGCAGAGAGTGAACATGCTGTCCATGGCTGTGCTGGGTTTGAGAGTCCTGCTGGCAAAGAGCATCGCCTTCAATGTCCTCATGAGTATCAAGTTGTTTCTTTTCTGAGGTAAGGCAGCTCACAGCTGTCAAACACTGGTTCACAGGCCCAATTTCATTAAATGCACTTTAAACCTCCCTTTGCTCTTCCAGACATGGGGAATGAAGACAAGAGGAACCCAAAGAAGATCAGGAAAGAACCTGAACCAGCAGCACAAGGGGTTTGACAAGCAGGGGCAGAGCTGCTGACAGAGACCACCCAGGACACAAGGCAGCCCCTTCCCCTGAAGACACTGAATGCTGTTCACTCCTGCCTGGCCAGCTGATTTACACTGAAGACCTTTAAGTGCTTTTGCTGTTTCCTCTCCTCTGCCAACTGAGGAGAGTAGATTTATCCTCATCCTCCTGCTAAGTAGATCTCCCCCCTCTTCTGGCATTTGCACACAAGTCTCCAACCTGCTTCAATAGCTCTGAAGACTCCAGTGCTCACTCTAGATAGATGGCCTTTGAAAAGCACCTTTCCCAGGCACGTTGTGTTACTGCCTGTGGAACTGGAGTAGCACTGCTGAGGGAATTCAAGCCCTGTAGTCGGCATTTGTTAAATACAATTCATAACAATAAGAACGAATGGCAGATGAGAAGAGCTTTGTAGGACCGGAAGTGATTTAATTCATCCAGATAATGTTAATTTGTTTATTAAGACTCTATTACAAATTCCAAATGAATTGCAGCTGCATTTTAGGTTCCTGTAGTAGTGATAAAAATAAAGTTGTGCTAGGCCACAATGCTGTGGGTTTTCTGTGCTTTTTCTACTGAAGCTGGGATGGAAAATGCTGAAATTCAACTGTCCTAAAGCCCACTGGGATCTGAAACACTGCTTTGATAATGCAGATTTCCTGGTGACTGAACTTCTCTCTTGCTGACTTTGTGCAGGGAAGGGTCTCTCTGGCACATTCAGGAGCTTCAGTGAGGACAGACCTTGCTGAAGGCACGAGAGGGGAAAATGCTCACACCAGCAGAGAAGAAGCCCTGCTGTTGTTTTGCACTCAGGGAGAGGAGGAAGGGGCCACCAGAAAATAATTTGGGGTGGTTTGATGGAGTGATAATTTCCATAACAACTTGGTTCTTGCCTAACAGAGATCAGCCCACACCTTCCCCAGCTCATGCCCCTCTCCCGAGCTACAGGCAGGATGCTGTGGTCACCATTTCTGACTCAGTTACACCAGGCAGCATTAACCCTCCCCTGCTTTTGACAACACAAGTTAACCACATCCTGGCAGGGAAATAAGGCTTTGCTCCCCCTGCCTGAGTTCCTGCTGCCTTCAAGAGAGCCTCTGCACGCACACAGCAAGGGGTGCTGCAGTGAGCCTGCTCAGCTCAGACCCTCAGGCCCTGCAGACACCCAGAGAAGAGCCTCAGCCTCTGCAGAAGCTCTGTGAAATTTGCATGGCAAAACTAAATTCAGTGAAATGCTCATGTACTGCATTCTACCACAATAAGGTCAGTCAAGGGGAGCCCTTCACCAGTATTTTTATCCTGATTTTCCAATGACACCCAGAACATTTTCCTCAAGCAATCCACACCTTTTCCCAGTCCCTCTGGTAGATTTATATTTTGGTAATACTCCCTCAGGCACAACCAGTGGAATCAGATGGTCAAGAAAGAAAGGTCAATGATTAAATGCTGTTATAATCCCTTAGTCTTGATGAAGTCTGGGACTAGGATTGGATCCATCCACACCTCCTCTAGGAGTTTACAAAGCAGCAGAGTCCTTTCTGCACCTCATGACTCAATAGGAGAGACTGCCTTTTACAGCTCTGCCCATTCTTGCCCCAGCCTCCTCCTCAATCTTTCTAAAATAATTCCAATTTGTTGTTCCTGTCCCTGATTTATCCATGTAAGAAAGCTGTAGGGAGCGTTACTGTTGGACTGTGCCACACTTTGGCCAATCTTTGTTAAACCTGCTGTTGCTGACACCTCTGGCAGTGAGTGTTTCATTGCCTTAAAGCCCTCATTTCATGACAAGGTCCCAGATTGTCCCCACTAAGCAGTGGCTTTTCACTTTGCATTGGCAATGCAGAACATGCAGCTGAACAAAACAGGAGAACAGAACTGTCTCCAGTCCGATAGTAAGATTCTCTCAGTGTGCTTAATTCCACATAAGAGGACAGGATCTGCAACTCTGCCTCCTGGTGTCAGCTGAGGAGAGTTTTGTAGAGAAACTGTGCTCCACATTAAAATAGCCTCTGCTCAAAGAAGCACATTTGAATGTGGAATTTTCCTGACATCTGAAAAAACTATATTGTCCTGAAAGGGATCCCATGATGCCAAAAAATGGAGGATGATTAGAAGTAGAACCCTTTGGTACAATACATTTTGACAGTACTATCCTGTTCTACAGATTAATTTGTGTCCATGTTTGATTGTTCTCATAGAGCCTTTGAAAATCTCCAGGGGTTGAGCCCCTGTCCCTGGAGACATTCAAAAGCCACCTGGACATGGTCCTTGGCAAACAGCTCCAGACCAGAAAACTCTAGTGAAAACCTTGTGTGATGGAAGGATTTTCTCTGCACGACCTTTGCAATGTGTGGATGAAATGATTTCTCTTGACAGTCTTGGTCAGAATAGAGCAATGCCCTGATTCACTAACACTAAAAATTGCTGTTGGATAGTTTTTGTTTCTCCCACAGTTTCAGTGACAAGACCACCCACAAGGGGATCTTCAATAAAACATTTAAAGTAATTTGACGAAAATTTTCTCCTCTAGCATATTTATTTCTCCTGCCCCTTGGTGAGTCTCACACACGGAGTGTGGTATCTGACATCTGTCCTGCTGAGCAAGTCAAAATGGTGAGAGCTCTCTCCTGTGGCAGAAAATATTAAAAACATCATGAAAGAATTAATCCCTTTCCAGGAGGTTACATGGTTATGTGAAGAACTCCAGGAGAAGGGAAAACACTAAATAGCTTTCTGTGCCACTGAAACCTCCAGTCTTCTTATACCACATTAAAAATACAATGTAATAATCATATTCCTGCACCTGCTGGGCAAAATCTGACCTATCCATTTCCTGTCCCAAAATCCTAAAAAGCTCCTGACAGAATTAGATCTAAAATATACAGAAACTCATTAGGAGTACGGTTAATTACCTAAGTGAAAGGCAAGTTGTCTTTGTGTCTTTGCTGTATATTTCACGCAGCAGATATGGTTTGAACTGAGGTATTGGAAACCTGATATTACCCCACAAAAATATTCAGGACTGGGGAGTGCAGAGCTCCTGGGAAGGTCTGTCTTCAAAAGCACAGCTTTGAAAATAGATGTCAACTCTAGGATTTCTCTAGGGAGGACCTTAGTTGATTCCTGGTTATGCCAAAGCCTCCCACGATCAGGGCACTTGTTGTAAGGCACTTTCTCTTCTGTGACCTATATTGAAACATAACCTGCAAGGAGGCAGAGCAGAGACACCCAAGCCTTCACTACATGGGGACTACTGACAGGCATTGTGCACAGTTTTATTTTAATGACAAATAGAATCTCTGGCCATGGGGTTCCACCTCCTTGGGAGCACTGCTAGATCATCCTTGGGACAGTATATTTCTCGAACACTTGACAGGGTTCAGATCTAGAGGCCGAGAGTTTCTGTCCTCCTCCCAATCCCCTTTTCAGTGCCCACAGCCTTGAGCAAGATCAGCATGGGGAGCACCTATGGCAGCAGGCACAGGGTTAGGTCCCACAGCCACAGGAGCAGCTCAAGCAGCCTTGGCACCACTGCCTGCACACCTGATACAACTAATGCTGAGATCAGATTTGTTTCCAGCCCACTCTGGGCAGATCTGCTCTTACCTCAAGCCTTCATGCCCCACTCTGGATGCCAAATAAGGCTGTTGTGGCTTAGGAAAGGTATTTCCTAAATTAGTGTTCCCACTGACCCACTCCAAAGAAAGCCTGAGGTTCTTTCACAGGATCACACAAAGTGGGATTATGGAGAGGGCTAAACAGAACAATTGGGACCACCCAGTGTGAAATACACCCAGGAGGGCACCAGGAGCTTCAAGTTCTGCTCCTCCTGCCGCACCTCTCCCCCTCTATGACTGTTGTCATAGGCAGAGGGAGGGACCAGCAGGGGCTGGGACTGGGAGCAGTGACAGAGGCCCAGGCAGGGCAGGTGTGGGCAGAGCTGCTGTGCAGGCAGAGAGAAGGTGGAGAGAGGCCACCCAGAGCGGGCCTGGCCATGTGGAGTGCCCTGTGCGTGGGCTTCTTGCCCATTGTAGGTAAGTGAAGGCAAGGGCTGATGGCCCCAGGAGCTGAGCGTGGCCCTGGGCTCTGCAGGGCTCGGGGCAGCTGTGCTGAGCGCCTGCAGCCGGACCTGTGCCCCGGCTCCAGCTGCCCAGCCATGCCTGTGCAGCTCGGGGAGAGCAGCCCTGCTCCTCTTGTGCCTCTGAGCTCGGCACCTCCAGCCCAGCTGCCTCCTCTGCAGCCTGGGCACACGCAGGGCACCTCCCTGCTGCACTCAGATCTCGGGGTTCAGCGCTTTGCCCTGGCACTGGGCACTGCTCCTGGGGCACTGCGGCCCCTCTGGCACACAGCAGCTGGAGCATGGCAGCACAGGGCACAAGCCCCACTGCCTGGGACAGGCCTTTGTCTTTGCTGTGCTCACCTCGAGCAGTTCATGGGACTGGAGAGTGGGTGCCTCACCATCTTGTCTTGGCAAGGACAAAGGATTTTGATCCCCCCAGGTTTAAATCCTTCCTGCTTCTTTGGGGAAAATCAGAAAAAGCTTCCTGTGTGACAGGATAAGGGAGGGAGGGAAATGTGGTGTCTCCTGCCTTGTGAGCATTGCTAGCTGCCACCAGCTCTGCCCATCTGTTTCAGCTGCCTTCAAGGAGCAGGATTTTGTCCTCCCACTGCTCCAGTGCCAGTCCAAAGCCCACCAGCATTGCCCTGACCTTTGCTGAATCTTGGAGTGACTGTGACTTTTTCTCACTCTCTTCAGCAGTCTCACTCGCTGGTGCAGCCACCTTGGAGCAGCAGCCCAGGGAAGTGACCGTGCAAGAGGGAAATACGGTCACCTTGCAGTGCAGAATGAGAGGGGATTCTATGAGGTACTACACCATGTCGTGGTACCGTCAGGGCCCAACGGGCTCTCAGGAATGGATTTACAAGGAGGATGGTACCTATGGAGAAGGTTTTAAAGACCGCTTTAAGATAAAAGAGGAGAAGCTCAAGAACAGCTTTACACTGCAGATCCTGGCAGCAAAGCAAGGGGATGCAGCTACGTATTACTGTAGAGCAAAAATCACCCTGGAGCCGCTCGGCAGCAGAGTCAACCAAAAACCAACAGGGGGGCAAGACAGATCTCCCAGCATTTCCTTCTAGCAGCTGCACCCCAGAGCTCCTGTCAGGCAATGGCAGGTGCAGGAAACATCCCTCTGGCTTGGTGGCACTAGAAGGCCCTGCAGGGAGGGCTGCTAGCAGGGCTGGTACCCTTTATGGTGCAGGAGGATCTGTCCTGGGAACTGCAGAGGCTTTCTGGGGGGGGAAGTGCAGGTTTAGTGCACGTTGCCTGGGCTCCTGTCCAGCACAGCCTCGTCTCTCCTCTGTGCCTTGGCTGCAGAGCCATGGGATGATGGAGATGTGTTGTTGTAGCTTCCAGAGTGCTGTGCTGGATGCAGCCAGGCTGTTTAGGAAAGCCAGATCAGCAGGGGTGGCATTGCTCTACAGGGTGGCTGCTACAGAGCACCTGACCAGGAAGAAGGAGATGAGAAGGTGTGGTCAGTTGACTTTG